CTAAGTACAGCAGTAACACATCTCGTTCCAATCACAGACGTGACGGTTACGACCATACATGACAACATAAATAGTTTCAAACCGACAATTATAGCGATCCAACACTCATCCCATTCATACACTATCAGAAGTATTACGGCATTCTCTTTTTGGAGGATGTGTTGGCCCTGAAAAGGGCCGTTTGGTTTGGTTTGTTTGCTAGCAAGCCATTGTTCGCTCACTTCTTTTTGGGAGCAGCTTTCTTTGCTGGTTTCTTTGCCTTTTTCGCAGGAGTTTTCTTGGCGGGCTTCTTTGCTGCCTTTAGTTTCTTTGCTGGTGTCTTCTTTGCTTTCTTTGGGGACTTAGCCTTTGGTTTCTTCGCCTTTGGCTTCTTCGCTGCTGCCTTTGGTTTCTTGGCTTTTGGTTTCTTTGCCTTGGGTTTCTTTGGTGTCTTTGGCTTCTTTGCTTTCTTCTCAGCCTTAACTTTAGCGTTCAACTTGAAGCTGCCAGACGCACCAGTACCCTTCGTTTGCACGAATTTTCCATCGGCAACACCAGACTTCAGAGCACGACGAATAAATGGGGTGATCTTGTCAAGGTCGACTTTGTAGTTAGAACCGACGTATTTCTTGATGGCGTGAAGAGAAGACCCTTGGCGTTCTTTCAAGTTGGTGATAGCAGCAACAACCATATCGATGGTTTTAGGATGGGTAGCTGGTGCCTTTGGCTTCTTTGGCTTGGTAGCCTTCTTCTGTGGAGCGGGTGCTGCGTCAGACATCGTGGTAGCTTAGTTGTTCACTGTACAGGGTCAGGAAATAATCTGAATTTCCCGCTTAATGACCGACCTTTATCCTCGGTTGGCGAACGTCGGAGAAGGCATAGTTCATTCATCGCTTCAACAACATGGCGCGAGTCCATTCTGTTCCTTAGTTTGTGTTTCAGGGTGAAATTAAAACAGCTCACTTGCTCTAATACGAGTTGGCGAAAGCCCGAAATTGCGATATTAGACTTCAACAGACTTTGAACTTGTGATTAAACTCATTAACTATGTTAGTCGTACTTATAACATGAGAGAAATCGATTGTCAAAGTTTGGGGTACACAAAAAAATCGACGTTAAACTTGTTTGTCAGATAGATTTTCTGTGAAGACAACACTTACAGAAGTAAAAAAATATCACAAGTTACATTTCAGAATGTTTATTAACTGAAATTAAATGCTTTACCCTGTGTTAATAACAATTTAGGTTAATTATTGCAGTTTTAAAAACAGGTTGCAAACACACTGTGGGCCATTTCCTGCACGGCCAAGGAGGGCGTCTTCGGGCGTGGAACTCAGGAATCGAACTCTTATCTATCATTTCTAACAATTTGTGTGGATTTTGAAACAAAATCTCAATGAGTGAATATTGTCATTATTAATAATTGTTTTTGTTATATTCATAAAGTTGATAAAACATATCAATAAATTCACTGTGCCAATTTTCCGAAGGCCACTGTTTCGGACACAGGCCCGTTGCTCTCAGAAGCGCCGAATACGCGAAATTATTGACAGTGATTTAACTGAATTGGAAACGTAATAACATAAACAAATTTAAGAAACTTTATCGAAATAACTATTTATGACATTTACCGCTGCTGTTTTGAAATGATCGCCTTCACTAGCCAGAGATACAGAATATTTGGTCGGTCGTTCGTTCATAATTTGATTTTAAATCGAACAAAATTTGTTTCATTTACTAGCAATATGAAAATGAATAACTTGATATATAGCTGACATTTACATTGTTTTTAGCGACTTGTATCAAAATCTGAAAAAAATAGTGAACGGTAACGATGTTTTTATTCCGAGTTCAGTTGCCAACACCATCTCTAGGAGTTCAGTATTCAGGCAAAGCTTGGTACACATGTGCTAGACTATATGTACCATAATATAATGTTATCGTTGACGGTTGCTTCTTTGATTGTAATTCTCATTACTAATATAATGTTCTTTCTGTAATTCGACGACAACCATCGCCTGTTGACTCCATTCTTACTACGTTCTTATTATCTCAAGAAGAGCACAGGGGCTCGTTACTATGCGAACCCAAATAACGAGCACGTAGTGCGATTTGAGCCTGCATATAAGTAAAGAATATGTATGAAAGCACATGCAATGTGTAATTTTACTATTTGTAAATATGTCATAGTTATCAGTTTTCAGTTTATTTTTATGTTATATTTTGTATCTTTTTTCTCGTTCCATGCTTCGGTTATGTTCTTTGTTCCACAAATCTACGTACTTTATAACTTTTATAATATTGATTGGAATATACCAATCCATTAGTTGTTGTCTAACAATACACGTACCACACGAGGGGTACACCGGCCCAGAGATTCTTGCCCTCAAATTAGATTATGATTTGTCTTCTTCTTGTTGCATATAACAAAATCTTCGTTTGATAAACCATAAAATTATCTAGTAGGCATACGCTCTTACAGTCACTGTAACGTCAATAAATGCCAACCGTATTAAACTAACTTACCAATTTGGGTTTTATTTATTCTTATTTTTATTTGAAATAAAAGTGTGTTTTTTTCATTATTTATTTTCATATATATATATACAAACAAATCCCGCGGCGATCATAGTTTGTGGCAATAGTTACAATAATTACAAATAAAACATAATAAATTTGGGTATAAATAAAATAAAATATATATAATTTTAAAAAATACATAAAGTGCAACATCACATGTTTTAATCAGATTGAATAAATTCACGAATGATATATAATGATGATAAATAAAAAAAAAGTATATATGTGACTTACAGGGTTCAGATTGTTGTGTTCTCATTTCAGGGACGTGTGGATATGGCACGTGTAAGCACGGGGAGTGCTCTCTGACTGGGTCGTATTGTCGATGTTATGGACCATGGTCAGGTGAACGCTGTGGTAAATATCCAACTCTTTGTTTTTCTAGAAATATGTATGCAAATTATACACATATGTATATATATGTCCATATTTGGTAATCTCTTCGAACCGACTCACTTGGACATAGCGAGTGATGTTTTGTACACTGAAACGAACGTTGGACACGGTCTAGGGTTTATTCAAGTTTTCGAAGTTTTTGTTTTGCTGTCTGTGTTTGATACTCATGTCTTCGCTATCGCTTATTTCCCCATGATGCAGCACGCGGAACAGAGTTCCAAATCCACGTGTTTTTATGCCAGATAATGAGAAGTGTGGCGACGAAACCAGTAAAATGGGACATTTTAAAATCACTGTAAATTCCTAATATTTTACTGAGTGAAATATTCCATCAAATGAATGTCAAAAATCAAATATAGTCCACGGTAACCCAAACTTGTTTCTATGGAAACAGCCATGTTGCAATTACCCTATTTTAGAGTCATTTGTGTTTTTATTATAAATTGTTTATTTATTCAAGAGATGGCTACAGATTTCCCCTCGCAAATATAAAAAAAAAATATATAAAAATACAATGTGTACATAACAAAAACTACAAAATATGAAATAAATACAATACGATACAATAATCTTAATAAAGTGTCTTCGCGTTTACAGTGAACTACTAACAATTTCTACATTATTGGAGTTGTGATTGTTGCTTGAATAGGCACCGAGTGTGTATGATAGCGAGATACTTTATGAACATTTTGGAAATGATGTAAGAATCATAAAAACTGTGCGCGACTTAGAGTAACGATATAAACTATTCTTCATTGCCTCCTAAGATGGTTGATAATTAAATAAAAACGAAATTGGGTACCTTATTTTTTTATTTTTTTATTTCTTCGTTATCTAAAACATCCAATCACATCGGTTAGCAATCTGATTAAAATAATTATTTTTTTTTAATTATTTTTTGACGTTATAATTATTTTGCTGCAAGAATTAAAATAAATAATAATTATAGTAATTATAGTAATTATATAAAAAAAATAAGCCTACCAGGATCTTATTTTAATCAGATTAATCGGTTAGCAACTTGAAATTGAAAGTTTCAGGAAATTTAACATGATATATAAAGTCACCTTATTCTAGTTTTATTGTCTTCTAATACTGAATTTATTTTTATCTTCTAGACGTGTGTGGCATTAGTGCATGCATTAATGGAGATTGTGACTTCGGTGACTATGGGTCTGGTATAATTTGTACTTGCCATAATGGTTGGACTGGTCAAAACTGTGATGTTGGTAAGAATAATTTCCAGCGTCATTTCATGTTGCGCCCTCTATCGACGAAGAGCATCTGTAAAAAAGTCAATTGACGATTCTGCTTTGATCTTTGATGCCTCACACCATTCTCGCCGCCAGAGTTTATTTTCGCTTCGAGACTCAACGAAATAGGCTTGCCGTAAAAGAGACCGTGGCGTACGACGATGCCTCACACATGATATACGTTAATTTGCGTCTGCGAAACAATAATTTATACGAACTTTTGCGACCGTAAAATCAACGATATTTTAAACAATATATTCAAATTGCTTGAAAGTAGAGAAGTGTAATGTAATTCATACCTATCTTTAAAAACATGCTGTTCTACCAACCCTAAAACCCAATAATTTATTTTTGCTCACCTTTTTCAGTGGCTGTTGGAGCAGAGAATATCGAACTGGGCCAATCAAGCACTGAGCTCCGTGAATCTAGTATGTGTATGCTCATTCTAACCGTATCGCTCATACTTGCTGGATGACATCATCACATTTTGCTGGGTGACGTCATCTTATTTGCTGCATGACATCAACACACATTCTGGATGACGTGCAAACCAATTCATCAATGGGCAGCAAGAAAACAATAGTAGATTTCCATCTATGAATCAATATATAATCTATTTCTGATATATAACGACTTGTAGCGAGAACGAAGACGAAATTTTTGTTATTATTTATTGTGATAATTATAGAAATGTGAAACACTACTGATCATTGGTCCTTTCAGTTACAGTGGCACGGATCTATGACCAATTTTGTCCAAAATTACGAGTAGGCTGCTACCTTAAGTCAGCTATTACCAAATGAAAACAATTACAGAAACATAACTTACATATTACAACATGATTTACAGTATTTTATCATTTATTATAATAAAATAATTTTAAATGTATGTAATAAAGATTATGTTTTTATTTGCTGTTTGGTATTATCAGTAATTCACTCTCTTCATGATATCGACTTTCAGATAAAGCCACCGTGACTAAACAACGTCAATATTTAGGTTGATTTGTTAGTATCATTTTCGCCGGCCAAGGTTTAAGTTTGTTCACTCCGATTATCTCCAAACAAGTGGCCGGCCATGGATAGTCGGCTTTTAGGCATCAATTTGAAATAAATCCTAAACAAGCTGTTTTAAATGTGGATATGTGCATTTTTATGTGATTTGTTTGTAGTGTGTTTTTTCCATAAAATAATAAGTCCTCGATTTTGGCGACAAACATAAAAACGTGTATATATTTAAGGTTGTTCGCTACCATAAAATAAACATTCTCAGAAATCCTCGAAATCCAGGAAGAAGGTTGCCGAACTAAGTTTTCCACAAAACGACCTCGAAAATTTGTCAAAAATGCGTGTTTTGAGTTTACAATTGGTCCTATGGCAGAAACTTTCCATCATATCCCAACATTTTCTTCGGTGACTTATGCTAACAAACATGATATGTAGTATAAAGAGGGTTACATATGGCTGTACAAGATATCCATGGAATAATGTGTTTCCATGGATTCCTGTGGAAAATATTCCAACATGGCCGTTTTGGGATTATTTTGCATGTTTTCTTATCTCTGAGTGTTCACAGTAACGAAGATAGATACGAGTTATGTAGTGATTTTAAAAATGTTGGTAATTTTGGTCAAAATGTGCTGTTTTGATTATTATTGCATTTTCTGCTGGTGAAGTGAAATATTCATGGTCATAATAATTCCAAGTTGCTAAAAAACACTGTTATTCTCTTTGTCCTTAAAAACTATAAATATGAAAAATGTGCATGTATGTGAATCATCACACAACATTTTTGAATGATTTAGTATTACGAGGCGCGGAATGTAAATTTATTATTTTGTGTATACTAGAAGAAAACGTGCTAATAATTCAAAATTACGTACGTATTGGAGGCCGTGGCGTGTGTGTTTTAAAATGATGTGTGCATTTTAAAAAAACGGCGTGACTGTGCGTTTTAATGGTATGTGCTTTAAAAAATCATGTGTGTATATTAAATGGCGTGGGTGTTTTAAAAAAACGTGTGTTTTAAAAATGACGTGTGAATTAAAAATGATGTGTGTCTTAAAATTACGTGTGTGTTTTACAATTATGTGTATTTAAAAAAAAACGTGTGTGTTTAAAAGGCCATGTGTGTTTTAAAAATAATGTGTGTTTAAAAACATAACGTGTGTGTAAAAACGATGCGTGTGTTTAAAAACGACGTGTGTGTTTTTAAAAATGGCGTGTGTTTAAAAACGACGTGCGTGTTTAAAAAATGACGTGTGTGTTTTTAAAAATGGTGTGTGTTTAAAAAACATGACGTGTGTGTTTAAAAATGACGTGTGTGTTTAAAAATGACGTGTATGTATTTAAAAATGACGTGTGTGTTAAAAACGACGTGTGTGTTAAAAAAAATGGCGTGTGTGAGGTCGAATGAAAATTTCATGTGTGTAAAAAGAAAAAAAACGCGTGCATTAACTTATTATATATGATAACACAAGTAGGAAAGCGTTTACACCATGACACCGAAATTGTCCGAAAATAACACGATTTTCAAAATTGTATTTCGAAACTTCACACAACTCAAGCATGATATC